CTGTGCTGCTCCTGGTATCTGAGCTCCATCTGCTCAGCTCTGCTGCGCTGCTCCTCCTCGTACCTGCGCAGGAGCTCCTGGTGCTGCGTCCTGTAGCGGAGCTTGATCTCCTCCGTCTTCTCACACTGCTCCTGCTCCAGCCTCTGCCTCTGCTCCTGGTACTGCAGCTGCAGCTCCTTCTCCTTCCTGCGCAGTGTCTCCTCCTGCTCTCTCCTGAGAGCCTCCAGCTGCCTGCGCTGCTCCTCTCCCTGCCTGCGTCTCAGCTCCTCCAGCTGGCACCTCTGCTGCGCCTCGTGCTCCTCCTTCAGCTGCTCCGCTCTCCTCCTCTGCTCTTCCTCACTCCTGCGTCTCAGCTCCTCCCTCTCCTTCCTGTCCTCCTCCTCCTCCCTGTATCTGTTCTCTCTTTCTCTCAGCCTCTCCTCTGCATCCTGGTCCACAAAGAAGTCCAGACTGTTTCCTGCCACCATGTCCTCGATCTTCTCCAACAGCTGTGTGACCTGGGTGTGGTCGCCCGTGTCCATATTGTTGAGAACATGATACCTGTTCCCACAGCTCTCTAAGAGCTGCTGCAGGTCTCTCCCCTGTGTGTCAACGTACTGCTGCACTGTCTCCTGTCCCAGACTGTCCCCGTGGGTGAAGAGGACGACAGTGTGATTCAGGACAGCCTCCCCAAACACCTCGGTCATGGTCAGCAGGGCGCCCTTCTCCTCGTCCGTGAAACGTCTGGCCGGCAGCACCAGCAGGAAAGCATGGGGTCCTGGAGAGGACAGCAGCAGGCACCTCCGGACCTCCAGACACACGTCCCTCTGGCGCCCCCTGCTGTCCAGGAGGTCTGGTGTGTCGATGACGGAGAGCTGCCTCCCAGCAGCCTCCCCCCTGCGTCTCTCGCAGGTCTGGGTGACCGCGGACAGGCTGGGCCGGGAGGGGAACTGTGTGCTGCCCAGGAGGGTGTTTCCTGCTGCGCTCTTCCCAGCACCAGTCCTGCCCAGCAGCACCAGTCTCAGCTCAGAGGGGCGGGGCTGGAGTCTGGGTTTGACTGCAGGGTCCCCTTCACTCACTGCAACAGGAGGAGAGACAGGAGCATCAGGGAGGTGACAGATGAGAGGAGACCAACCTCTCCACAGGTAAGAGGAGTACAATTTGCTCAAGTCATTTCTTGACAAACGTAACATAAAAGTCATTATAATAATAATAATAATTGCTTACACTTCTATAG